CGGCCGCCCCTTCGCTCTGGGAGTTCACTTCTCAAACCGCCGGGCTCCGCTGATGCCTCGGGCGCATGCATTAACGTGCCACATTAATTCAGCGCCTTGGTCACAGACCGGGCTGTCAGGCGGCATGCGGGGAGCGCTCTTGAAACGTAAAACACAGACGCAAGGAACAGCGATTATTTCTTACCCATGTATGGCTTTGTTCCAGCTAATGCAGTTGCTCTTTCACCGTCCCTAATTATTGTTGCAATATTAAAATCTGTTAAATGTGCATGACCTTAAATAAAGACACATTTTAAGAAGGAATTAATCGCAGCACAGAACAGTGGCAATGCAGAGTCAGAATACATTTGTTTCATCAGCTTCTGCCCTCAGACAGTGGAGCATGGGTGCAGGCCAGGGTCAGACCCCCCGAATGATCCTGACGCTTTCCCAGGATCTCAGGCTGGCCGGGTGACTAAACGGGCGCCAGCTCTGGGCCTTGGTTTGAAATCACGCTTGGAGCACACTAGTAACCCACACCAGCTCCAGCACTCGCTCACGTTGCTCTAGCCAGAGCCTACAGCCGGCAAAGAAAACAGGGAAGCGCTATACGAAGGTATTGCCTTGGTTACACTGATAAAACCCTACACCTGTTTTTGAGGAAGGCCACTGAACCACGAGTACCCCAAAGCCCCAGAGCTAAACCGGTGCTGCCACTCTGCACAGACCACAGCAGACTGGGACGTGCCAGTTGAACGAAATCGTAACAGCACCTCCCAAACCCCAAGGGTCTACAAAGAAATCATTAAGATATTTCAAAGAGTGCTGGAACACCTTCTCCGTTTCTACTTTCTCTGTCATCAGGACTGAAAGTTGAAATTCAGAACAGGTATTTTCCAGCCAGCCTGGTAAACAGAAAACCCACCTGCTTGCCCTTGTGGAGGCCAACCCCTGCTCTCTGCCTACAAGGCAGTTATGAAAGCGGTGTGTAAATGACAGACTGCCTCATCCTGTGACGTCTTCCCTCACATCTCCGTTTTCCCATTTACGTTTGGGCTTTATACCCTGAGCTATTTTCTCATTAACTTCCACGCAAGTGCAAGCTTTGGTTTTGATGAGGATTCATGGTAAAACTCGTACGGTTTGGAGCCTGCTGTCCTGAGAGACTGTGCCTTCGTTTTAGAAGATCTACTACTGGAACGGAGGTCATGACAGGATCTCCTGTGGTACTTCTAGGTAGGTCACTGAGACAGTTTGCTCTCCTAGAGGTTCCTGAACTGATCGCTCCACCCGGCTCAGCCCAGATCCATCCCCCCCGCCCCGGAAGACGGGATGTGCCCATCACTCACTCTAAAACTCAACAAAGTCAGTTCTTGTGCTTTGTGCCCTTCCAGGACACCAGGTACCGCAGGTGGGGTCACGAGGAGAGGGGCTGCCCCTGGGGGCTCTTCCCTGGCTTTACAGCGCACAGGTACGTTCAACCCAACACCCAGCAACGAGGAGGAGTGCTGCCTTTCCCACACTCTTCCCAGATCAAAGACGCACAGCATTCGCAAGAGTAAAGACCCTGTCCCTCGAATGAAGGAGGCAGACAAAGCAAGGCAGAGAGATCCTACCTTGCTCATCGAGGAGGATGTTGTCTGGTTTTACGTCCCTGGGAAAAGAAGCAAGGTGACAGCAAGATGAAATCTCAGTCAGATCCAGGATGCAACTCCACAACAAAACACCTGCAACTTTTTTTATCTATCAAAAATTAAGAAGAAATAAACCAAAAATACCCTAACATGAGAAAAGTCCCTTTATGATGGACTAGAAATATGCTTTTCCTGGGCAACTGGGCAAAAATGTGGGAGCATCAGACTTGTTCAAGCATCGTTTCCAAGGAAAATGAACAACACAATGCTGGACCCACTTCTGTGAAGCCCTGGCTCCCTTTGAAACGTGCCCTGGGAGGTGCCTCCAGCCCTCAGCAAAGTGTCAGCCTTCCTCCGAGGGACGTGGGAGCAGGACCAGCAGCCGCAGGGTGCCAGGACCAGCACTGGCAGTGCGGTTTAGTGCCGGCAGCTCCCTGGCACTGGGGCACCGGTGGCATTAAGCAAAGTCAGCACCACCCACCCCAAACCAGCCACGGGCAGCTCCTGCCAGCTCCCGGCTGCGAGCACGAGGCTGGGTGGTCACCTGTGGATGATGTGCTGACTTCGCAGGTAGTCGAGAGCCAGCGCCATCTCACAGATGTAGAGTCTGACCGTTTCTTCCGTAAACTGAACGTTCTGCTGCAGGTGATAGCGCAGGTCGCCGCCGAGAAGCAAGTCCACCACCATGAACATGTCCTCCTCGTCCTGGAAGGAGTACCTGCGGGAGCGGCGGGGGGTGAGCGAGCAGGCTGAGTCTCACCGGGGTCACAAAACCAAGTCAGCCTTCCCCCCTCTCCTGATTACACAGCTCCCGTGAAAGCTGCAAACAGTCCCACCACGAGCACACGCCGGCTCCGGTGTTCACCCCTTTCTCACTAAGCAAGGCCAACTCAAAGTGCTGTCTTGGTTTTTAACCTATTGCTACATGAGCAACGCTTCCTCCGAAGAGGTAAGCACCCCAATTCACTTCCCCCGCTCGCCCTGCCACCGTCACCTCCCGAGTGCTGCCCTGTAACCCCACCAGCAGGCAGGGCTGCAGGCAGGGCTGCAGGCAGGGCTCGGGGCTTTGCTAGCCAGTCACTTCACAGAAACTTTGCATTTTCAATTGTGAACAATCTGATAAACCTACTTAAAATATCTCTGCCTATCCTGAAAATGAATTGGAAAACACAACTGCTAATTTAACCACGAAAACCAGAAAAAGAGATTTATATTTACTGTAGAGTAAAACGCCTCTCTAAATCTGCAGTGGATCCCACAGGAGACTGACAGCAGTGAGGAGGATACACTACAAAACAACGTTCAATTGTTATATTTGGTGACAGCATTTCTAAGGAAAGAGTATGTGGGATTGTATAATACTTATGAATCACACCCTTCTGCTCTCATCTTAAATGTAGCTTTATTCTAAAAGTATGATCTGACAGGGAAAAATCCGCTAAGACAGCAAGCTTTCTCAAGAATTTCATTACTGAATTGTTGGTGAAAAATATTTGCAATTGCTAAAATGCTGAAAAAAGTAAATATTAAGTTATTTGGCTATTCTTTCTGGAGTAAAGGATCAACAAAAAGAATCTAAAGCATTAGCAACTTCCATCGCTTTGGGCATAAAACTTTCCGAATTTTTGAAAAACTTCCCGCCCACCAGCCAGCCGGCTGCCCAAGGCTCAGCCTGTCCGGCCCCCCGAAGCGTGCAGCTTCCCCGGGAAAAACTGCTGCTCCTGCCCCTCCTCTGCCTCTCTGAGACCAGGGAGCCGTTCACGAGGCGCTGATCCAGCCTGAACAACACGTGTCAATGCTAACGTAAGCCTGGCAATCTCGGAAGGAGATTACCGCGTACTGCAGATGCACCTTCCTGCATTTCTTACATAATACATCATTTTTGCTCAGTCATTAGTCTCCAAGCAAGCACGGCCTTTATTTTACATTTATTATTTTCTCCTTGTCATTGTGGCTGCACGAGTTTTTTAGCGATCTCAAAACCCCCCGGGCTGGAAACTGCGCCTGCCTGCCGCGACGGCACGCTCCAAGCACAGCTGCAAAGCCCCTTCACCAACAAACAGCCGTGCCGTCGCTGGAAGAAGGCACCTCAAACTGTGCCAGGGGTGTGCGAGACACTTGGGGAATAAATCCAAGGCAAAATTTTGAGCAACTCAGGTCTCGTGTACAGTAAGAGAAGGGACGACTCTTCTCTTCCCTTCTCAGCCTGTCACCCTCCTCTCAACGGGACACCAAAGGTTTTCCATCACCTCTCACGAACGTCACCCTTCCTGCAGGCTGGGAACATAAGCCAAGAGCTCCCCATTCTGTCACCTGCCACACGTCCTGTGCTTGCTCGTGCCCAGCGCCCTCCCAGCAGTGGTCACAGACACCCTCCGGCTGGCCCAGGCTCAGGCTGTGGCGTGCTGGGCGACCACGGGTGAGGGCGACGGGTTTGCTGACCCCTGCCCCACCTCAGGCGCTCCTTCACAGCGGGGGAAGGCAGGGAGAGGACGGACCACCCCGGCCACTGGGCAGCAGGATGCAGGAGAGGGTCACGAGGCTGACCGCTACGGACTCCTCCCAAATTAACCAACAGTTTCAGGATATAACGCACTACTTTCTAAAACTGGCAAATTATTTTTTTGTGCAAAATCAGATACTGAGATATCTGAGCTCTAAAGAGATGTATTTTATTTGGCCAGTGAATGTGTTGCAAAGCACTTTTTGCCCTTAGCCCCTCCAGCAAAAGGCCACACACCTGATAATTTGAAGAAATCTCATAAATTTTTTTCAGCAACGGATCACTAACAATAGTTCTGTTTCAAATTGCTCAATACTAACCTGACTGTGTGTGCGCTGGCAAAAACTACACTCATTACCGGGTAATGTTTTAGTGTCTAATTAAAAAAAAACTTCCTCAAATCAGGCTGAAATGTAACAAATAGCCTCAGTTTGTAACACTTTTGAAAAGCATCCCATCTAGAACAGTAAAACATGATACGCCGTGTATCTCCTGGGCTTCCCTACCACCACAGCAAGGCCCCCACCCCAGCAGCACCCCTCGGTGCACATCTATGGAGCCGCCCTTGCAGGGCCTGCGCAGACCCAAACGCGGTCAGGACAGCTTGAACCACCGGCCAAAACCTCCTGAGCTAGGACCGACCTCGGTAACGCTCTGCTGAACACACTGGCTACGGCTGAGAGCAGCTCTGTTTACTTCAACTATTAGCCAAGCTCTGCAGGACCGAGTCCTTTAGAGGGACCAAAGACTTGCTGTGTAAAACTCCATACATTCTGTGTAATTTTTGTATTAATAAAAGTTATAAATCATCATCTCGAAAAATGCTAGTTTCTTTGACTTTTCAAGCTGTTATTTCCTACAAAAACTGGCCCCACGCAGTACCCGATTCACCACGGACCATCACGGATCTCAGCATCCCCACACACATGAGATGGATGTGTCTTTAACAGCAATCACTGGGAGCATCGTGCTGCCCCGAGACACCTCAGTCAAACTCCACATCAACCCCCCACGGTACAAAAATATTTCACGGTTAAATTGGCAGGGGGTTCCTCAGGAGGGACCTGATAGCGGTATTCGCAAGAGGGCTGTGAAAAACCCCCAACAAACAGACGAGGTTTTTGATGGCAGAAGAGAAGCTCAGCTGCTTTAAAGCGCTTGATGCCACAGCACCAGGGCATCTTCTGTGCTATCTGGCCCGAACGCACTTCGCGTTACCACAGGCTTCCATTGTGGCAGCTCACTGGGATGTTCCCACGGACGTCTGTGACCCCAGGAGGACGGGGAGAAGGTGGCTTGGGAGCGCCCGAGGGCAGGCGGCCCCAGAAGGCAGAGGGGAGGAGCTGCTCACCAGAGGTTCACCAGGAACACGTGCTCGATCTCCTGCAGGATTTCCAGCTCCCTGAACACATTGCGAACCTCGTCTCTCTCGATGCACTGCTGTTTGTTCATGTACTTCATAGCATACATCTTCTCGGTGTCTCTCTTCTGCACAATACACACCTAAAGTACCGCAGAAGGGGAAGGAAAAAAGAGATTTAGTGAAATGTTCCACATCCTCATCCGCTGCTTTACTGGGCTGAGACCCACGCTGCTCAGCACTGCTACCCCGCTACCGAACATTCCTGATTCCTGGGATGTGACTTGGGATCTGCAGCTATAACCGTCCCTGCTCCGAGCGCAGTGCCCGTGCACTCCCGTTCCGGGCACCACACCAGCCCACCCAGGCTGCCTTCAACTGCGCAGCCACACAAGAGCTTCCTCTAGGACGTGATGGGTGGCTCCGGGGAGAGCTTTCCAGTGGGGAGTGGTGCCTGGGAGCTGTGGGAGAGAGCTTTGTGCTTGCTGCCTCCGGATGGAGACTGGCTTCGGGTGACCGCGAGGCTTCTCCCCCAGCCTTGACTCCATTCTGCTCCCATCTGCTGGCTGCCAACCTCCGGCAGATTGGTTTGAACCTACAGCACACATAGCTGTGCTCCGAAAGGTCAAAACAATCCCGATTGTTTCAGCAGAAAGCGATTAAAATGTAGATTTGTTACCAACAACAACCACCACCGTGCCCCTAGAAAAGCAGCAGTACTCCATCCTTGCCAGACACAGCCCGACCTGCGTGGGATTTTGTAGCGCCAGAGCCCCTCCTGCACGCCCAGCCCTGGCGCCCAGCCTCCAGGAGACACCGTGGATGGGGACATGTCCTTCCCCCGGCACAGCCACGCTGCGGACCAAGCGCCCCCAGCC